CGCAGAGGCCTTTAAGAATATGCGTGTGGAGTGCCCAAGGACCCCAGCCCCACCACCCCAGAGTCGAGGTTCTCCATGGGTCAGCATTCTCTCCAAACCACTGCCCATGAGCCACCATTGAGGGGTAAGACCCTCAGTCTTTAAAGCACAGGAACTAAATGAGACTGGTTAGCAACAGGTCCCTTCCCATATCCATTCCCACCCTACACACGGACAGCTCTCACTGTTCTGGGGAAACTGTCCTTTGGGGCTTCTCTCATCAAGCAGAGCTGCTTCTAATGAGAATAACAATGAAAATATATTGTCTCTGGCAGGCTTGTGCCCCAAGCATTGAGTAAAGATGAGTATCTGAGTTAGCAAAGAACTTAGACTCTTGGAAAGTATTGACCATCTTTTTAGATGGCATGAAAGCTGTTTCTGGACACCTTCTGTCCCCCTCCCACAGTTTCCAGCATCTCACTGTGGCTACCAAAGAAGTGATAGGTTTCTCCCATCTGAGCACCACCTTGCCACTCCAGCAGGAACCTTGTCATGTGTGCTGGGCCTTACTGCTCCTGTCAGGCTGAATACACAAGTTCATTTTTATTAATTTGTTGGAAAAATACACTTTTCTATTTTCTTATAAGAACTTCAGCTCACAAAATAATATTTATAAAACATGATCTCTGGCTCAAAGGGGAAACCAGAAAAAAAGCAAAATGGAACAAGAAATTAATCTCCAATTTACAAGAATATTAACAGATGATGTATGGTTAGAAAGAATTTCCTGAAATAAAATAGCCACAGCACAGTTAAACCATGCCAGAGTTTTCCTTAATGTGGTCTGTTTGAATAGTAAATAAAACCCATTACAATAATGCTGGGATTCCTTCGAAGCAAATGTTTTTCCTCAATTAAAGCAAACAAAACCACCCCAAGGTTCCCTTCCCCCTCACCCCGGAGATCATGATAATGACTTCGACTTCTATCGTGGGGCAGAAGGCTTTTCTTAAAGAGAAGGTGCCCAAGAGGAAAGAGACAAGCCCTGAGGGAAGCGACCAGTCCTTTTGCCCTTAACCCCCAAACCAGGCCACCGAAACCTTCTTGGCCTTGCAGATCACTCTGGCCTGGTCAGACGAGCACCCGGGGCCCATCATTCCTTCTCTCTTTCCTCGGCTCAGCTCCTGGATCTCCATTCTAGCTCACTACGAGCTGGTGGGAGGACCCTCTCCTTCCCAGCCCTCCCTTCCCCTCCTCTGTCTTCCAGCCGCCTTTTCTGTCTTGTCTCTCCCATTAGAATGTAAGCCCCCAGAGCTCTCGCAGTCCGCTGTGTTAGCTGTTATTATCGTTGCTGTTATATTGTTAGCGAGCAATTTATAAACGCTTGTTGGCATGTAAATGGGCTAGGGCACCCACCTTCCAAATCCTGACTTCAGCCTGGCCTTTCTCAACCTAACAATCAAAGGGGAAGTGCTTAATTAATGGAGTCCTCTGGGAGACGCCTGGGAGCCTCCCTACCCTGGTCCCTTGTGATAAGCCCTCTCCCCTTCCTCCACCTCAATAATGGGCTTTCCTCAAGCCTTTGAGGTTTACCCAGTGCTCCACATACCCTTTCTCATTTCATCCTCACTTCAGCTTTCTGAATTGAGCAATGCATTTATTATGATGCCCACTTTGCAGAGGAGGAAATGGGAGCTAAAATTTTAGTGAAACCACTAAGCTAGATCAAGTGGAGAAGCTAGGTGGCACAGTGGGGAAAGAGCCCAATCCTGAGTTCAAATTCAGCCTTAAGACTAACTAGTTGTGTGACTCCAGGCAAGTCACTTAAAAAATTTTCAGGATCTGTTTCCTCATCTGTGAAATGGGGATGATAATAGCACCTACCTCTCAGGGTTGTGGGAAGATCAAATGGGTCGCCATTATAAAGTGCTTAGCCCCAGTACCTGGCACACAGTGGGCACTATGTAAATTAGTGCTCTTATTAAGCACCCACTATGTGCCAGGCCCTGCTCTCAAGGTGCTCATGGTCTACACCGTGGGGTCCTGGCTCCAAGCCTAGGGCTGTTTCCGCTGTTCCACAGCAGTGGGTTCCGTGCACTCATGCTGGGGGTGGGCTAGCCTTGCTCTCCACCCTATAGCCCACTAGGCACTATTCTTTACCCTTGAATCACTTGATCCTGCTGACCTTCTACCTTCTAAATACCAGCTTTCATATATGAAGCTCCCCTAATCCACCATACTCTGCCTGAACTCATCCCCCATGGTTAAAACATTCCCATTGTCCTTTGTCAACGTCCTTTACCTACCCGTTTGCTTCCTCACCCCAACCCCTCTCACACTGACCCCACATCTACCCTAATTAATTTCCTTTCACTTGACACCTTATTCATTCTTGTGTCCTCCATTTTCTGGGGCTCCCTGGGACACTGCTCCCACCCTCGTTTCCTGGACAGGTTATATCATCTGCCTTCTGACTCACTTGCTTCCCAAACTCTTACTGTACTGCCATCACCCAGACCCTGGCGGCCTTAAGGATTTGTGGTCTCTTTTCTCAGTGACTTTGGTGTCTGGATCATAGCCTCCCTCTCTAACCCCATTCCTTCCCTCAGAGCGGGAGGACTTCAGCTATCACACTGATGAACTTCACTTCCTAGTTCCTCAGTCTCCTTCATTCCAACCACACCTCCCCATGGGACTGGTCGTAACTTGGATGCCATCCACAGACCTGAAGAGTCCCTTTACTGACTGTAATCTCCTGATTCCACTTTGTCCTCACCAATGGCTTCCAATACTTTATCCTTCAGAACTTTCACTGGCCATCACCCATTCTGAAGCTGACTGTTAATCAGCTAATTACCTGTTAAGCCATTATTAAGCACCTCCTATGTGTCAGGTGCTATGTCAAATGCTGGGGATATAAAGAAAAGCAGTCTCTGCTCTCAAAGAGCTCACAGTCTAATGGGGGAGAAGGCACACAAAACAACTCTGTATGAACCAGCTACAGATGGGAGAAATCAGGAATTAGCAACAGAGGGGAGGTACGAGAATCAAGGGGGATGGGGGAGGGCTTCCTATAGCTGTAGGGTTTGGGCTGGGATGTGAAGGAAGCTTGGGAAGCCTAAAGATGAGGAGGAGAGAATTCCAGGGATGGGAGACAGTGAGAATGCCCAGGTGGGACAATCTGCCAGGAGGGCACAGTGACTGCCTCATAGAGGGCAATGGTGGGGGTGTTGTGGAAAAAGCCTGAGAAGGCAGGACAAGGCCAGGTTTGGAAGGGCTTTAGAAGTAAAAAAGGCGATTTTATATTCAATACTGGAGGTAATCCAACATTGGGTTTAGTATGTGGGGGGAGGGGTAGGCATGGTCAGGCCTGTGCTTCTGCCTGATCTCTTTGATAACTCAATGGAGAAGGGGCTGCAGGGGAGAGACCCACCTCAATTGCAATAGTCTAGGTGGGAGGTGATGAGGGCCTGCACCAGGCTGGTCGCTGTCAGAGGAGAGAAGGGGGTCTGTGTACTCCAGATATGTGACAAAGGTAGAAGCAAGAGAACTCGAAAACAGAGTGGACATGGGTGGGTGAGAGTGAGGGTCAAGCATTGGACTTGGGTTGTGAGACTGGGTGCCAGGGAGGAGGATGGTGCCTTAGACAGTAAAAAATGTTCAGAAGGGAAGAGGGTTTGGGGAAAAGACAAGTTCCATTATGGACATGTTGAGTTTCAGATGTCAATAGGGCATCTTGTTTGAGATGCCCAATAGGCACTTAGAGATGAGAGTCTAGAAGTTAAGAAGAGGTTAGGGCTGGATAAATGGTTTTCAGAATCATCAGCAGAGATGATAACTGAATCCATGGGAGATGATGAGATCATCAAGTGAAGTAGTATAGAGGGAAAAAGAGGAGGAGGCCCAGGACAGAACCTTCCCAGACTCCTATAGTTAGTGGTGGGGACCCAGATGAAGATCCAACTAAGAAGACAGAGAAGGCCTGCTTAGAGAGGAAGGAGGAGAATGGGGGTGGGGTATCTCAAAAACCTGGAGAGAAGAGTGTCCAGGAGGAGAGACGGATGCCCAGTGTCCCAGGCTGAAGTGAGATCAAGGACTGAGAAAAGGCCATTGGGTTTGGTAACTAATAGATGTCAGTTAACGCTGTGTCCAGGAGGAACGGGGCCTCTCAGGAGAGGTGTGCCCACCCCGGGGGGGTGAAGAGAAGACAAACTGAAGACAGAAAGCTCAGGACTTTGCTAGAAGGGCTGTTCTCACTGAACAGCAGCTTCACCTTTCCAGAAGGCAGCACTGGCCCCTGATGAGGGATGTGACCAAATGCTTTCATTCCTGTGAATGAAAGAGCAGTCAATGCCGTGCCAGTGAGGACGAGGCCCCCCACCTTACTGTGGCCTTGCCTAGGAGGGAGCCCACCAGGTGGCTATTCTTCCCCACCCCCCACCAGGGTCATCATCACTGGGAGAGAACAGTTTTTGTCGAATGATGAAGCCACAAGCTGGACACCTGGACACCTGGACGGCCGACAGGCCAGTGAGAGGAAGCCTGCTGTGGACAGCCTTCTCAAGGCGTAGAGCCAGCAGGGATGGACGTGAGCATGTTTAGGGGTAGCAGGGCCACAGCGGGATGGCGAGGGGTCAGCCTGGGCAGCATGGGGGTGGGGGGGGCTGGAGGCAGGGTCTCCAGGGGCAGGGAGCCTCCGGAGGCCATCAGGGACGCGCTTGCTACAGAGTAACAATGTGGAAGTCACTCCACTCCCGGGCTTTCTCCGTCTCCTTCCAGACGCCTCTGAGTACGCGTGGATTGGCCCGCGGTGGGAGCCCGTGGGAGGGGGTGGAGCTCAGGCCTCTCTTCTGCCTCCCTTCACCCCTATGGGGGGGGTCTCCTGAGCCCCCTTCTCCCACCTGACCATGCCTGGACAGTTCCACCTGGCTGTGCTGGAGGCAGTTTGATCCCACCGCCCCCACTCCTGTGCGCTCCGGATTAATCTTCAACTCCCTGGCCTCAGTTTCCCCCTCTGTAAGATGAGGGGGTGCACCCCACTTCAATTGGGCGCTTCCCACGTGCTGAGTCCCCTCCCCCTCCTCGGCCCGGGAGATGCAGGAGGGCTTCCTGGAGGCGGCGGGCTGGGAAGCCCAGAGCTGGCTTCCCGCAGGGGTCGTATGGACCGCCCGCGTTGTCACAGAGGCACGGGGCCGCGGTTCCCGGCACGTACCTCTCTAAGGCCACGCCCCGAGGCCGCTCAGGCTCCGCCTCCAACGTGCGCTCCCGGCCTGGCGCAGGCGCACCGCAAGCCGGCGTTCCAGTGACGGACGAACGGGGGAGACCTTGCGCAGACGCGATCGGTCTTTGAGGGGAGACGGGACAGTGCGCAGGCGTACTAGGAGCTGCTGCTCCACAGTCCCGCCCTCTAAGACTCCGAGAGAACTTGCACGGTGCGCCGGCGCATTGGAAACCGCCCCGAGGAAAGGCCATTCAGAGGCAGAGGGTGGAGAGGCGGCGCAGCACGCAGGCGCATTGGGAGCTTCCGAAGGCCAAGGCGGAAGCGGGCCTCAAAGTAGGAGGTTCCCAAAAGATACGTAAGAAAGCAGAGCGGCGCGCGCAGGCGCATCGGGAGCCCCCGCGGGGCAGGCACAGTGAGGCCGGTGGCACAATTATGTCTGGGCCACACGTGTCCCGCGTCCGGGCTCTGTACCGGCGGCTCCTGGTGCTGCACCGCGCGCTGCCGCCCGACCTGCGCGCCCTCGGCGATCAGTACGTGAAGGACGAGTTCCGGCGACACAAAGGCGTTGGCCGCGAGGAGGCGCTGCGCTTCCTGCGCGAGTGGGAGGCAAGTCTGTGCGCGTGCGCGCGCCCGCCGTCATCAGTGACACAGCCCTCCCCCCATCCCCGGCAAGGTGGGCAGGCCCAGGAGAAGCTGTGGTCGGCCCGCGACTTCAGTGGGTCAATAGCTAGCATTTATGTAGCGCCTACTGGGTGCTGAGCAGTGTGCCAAGGGCTTTACCGTTGTTATCATAGCATGATATAGTGCCTACTGTGTGCCAGGTGCTTTACAGTTATCTCATAACAATAATAAATAGGTAGCATTTATGTAGCACCTACTGTGTGCTAAGCATTGTGCTAAGCGCTTCACAGTTATCTCATAATAATAGTAGTAGTAATATTTATAATAATAATGCTAGCTTTCCATTTATATAGTGCCTACTGTGTGCCAGCAATAAATAGGTAGCATTTATGTAGCACCTACTGTGTGCCAAGCACTTCACAGTTATCTCATAATAATAGTAGTAGTAATATCTATAATGATGCTAGCTTTACACTTACATAGTGCCTACTGTGTCAAGCGCTTTACAAACATCTCATTTGGTCCTCACGACCCTGGGCAATAGGTGATATTGTCCCCATTTTACAGCAGAGGACACTGAGGTGCCCGAGGTTCAGAGACTTGCCCAGGGTCTCACAGCTAGTAAATATCTCAGGCTGGATTTGGATTTAAGGCTTTCTGACTCTAGTCCCAGCACTCTATCCACTGTAACATCTAGCTGCATTTATTAATCACCTATTGTGTACCAGGTTCATCTGTCAGTCAGCTAGCATTGGTTAGGGCCTGTTATGTGTCAGGCATTGTGCTAAGTCCTGGGGATACAAAAAGAGGCAAAAGATAGATCCTGCCCTCAAGGAGCTCACAGTCTAGTGGGGGAGACAACCTGAAAACAAAGCAAATATAAAAAGAAAGCTATATAAGGATAGATAGGAAATAGAAGACAGAGGACACCAGAATTAGGAGGGGCTGGGGAAAGCCTCCTGTAGGTGGTGGGATTTTAGCTGGAACTTAAAAGGAAGCCAGGAAGGTCAGTAGTTGGAGATGAGGAGAAAGAGTGTTCCAGGCGTAGGGGACAGCCAGAGAGAATAACCAGAGCAGAGAGGTGGAGGGTCTTCTTTACAGCCGGGAGGCCAGAGCCACTGTATCTAAGACTACATAGAGGGACTTAAGGTATAGGAAGACTGGAAAGGGAGGAAGGGACAGGTTCTAAACAGGATTTTTGTTTGATATTGCAGGTAATAGGGAGCCACTAAAGGCTATTGAGTAGGGGATCTTATGGTCAGACCTGGCCTTTAGGAGAATCACTTTCATGGATAAATGAAGGATGGACTGGAGCACAGGGAGACTTAAGGCAGGCAGGCCCCCCCCCACCCCCAGTTGTGGAAGCTGTGTGTGTGTGTGTGTGTGTGTGTGTGTGTGTGTGTGTGTGTAGGTGCATGTGGAATGATAAATTGTCAAGATGCAGCAGGAGGTGAAATTGACCAGAGATACAGCAGGAGGTGAAATTGACAGGCCTTGGCACCATATGGGATCTGGGAGGTGAGAGAGAGAGGGAGGAGTTCAGGGTGACTCCTAGTGAGGGACTTGGAGGATGGGAGTGCTCCGGACACTAATAGGGAAGGTAGGGGGCATATTACCTCTCTGGGGATGATTGCTCTTCCACCTGTAAAATAAGGGCATTGAAATAGAGGATATTTAAACTCTGTTTCAGCCTGTAAAATCTTATGGCCCAGTAATTCAGATAACCTTAGTCTGCAGTTCAGTTCAGGGGACATTTCTTCATCACCTCGTCTGTGCCACATGGAAGAGATGCTCAAGTGCAAAATGATAGTCTTTCCAAGAAGGGGGTAGATGGTGGTCCAGTGGATAGAGTGCTGGGTCTGGAGTCAGCAAGACTTGAGTTCACATCCAACCTCAGAGACTAGCTGTATGACCCTGGACAAGTCACTACGCCTCTGTCTGTTTCCTCAGCTGTAAAATGGAGACCGTAATAACACCCACCTCTCAGGGTTGTTGTAGCATAGTGCCTGGCACACAGTAGATGCTATAGAAATACTTGTTCCTTCCCTACTATCTCCACCCCCACCCCCTCTCCTTTCAAGGAGGCTGTGCACAGAGATAGATAGCCATAATCCCGGTCAGAATGATGAGTGCGTAAAACTTAACCCACAATTGGTAGGAAAAACTTGTGGAGGTGGGCATTATCTCTTTATGGGGAGATCAGTGGGGAAATGGGGTGTCACGCTGGGGAAGAGCTTAGCTGGAAGGTAGTTGGTGTGGGCATCCGTGTGGATGGAGAGTCTGGGGCCTGGTATGAACGGCAGCAGGTGCTCCCAGTGCCGTGAGGGAAAGGAGCCCGGAAGCCAGGTCAGGAGTCCTGGGTTTGAAACCCACCTCGATGCTGCCTTCATGTGTGTGCCATCACAGCTGTCCCACCCACTAGGGGAGGTCTTGGGGTCTCTTTCCGAAGGCTGGCTGTGGGAGAGCAGGCGGGCCTGAGGTGGCTCCTAAGGAAACAGCTGGCTGTAGCTTTCACTCTGTATTCGGCAAAGCTGTCAGAAAGGAGGCAAAACTTGGGCACGAGGAGATGGGACGGAGGCTCTGGCCTCACCAGGCGTGAACACGGGTTTGTCAGGAGGAGGACTCGAGCAGAAGGCGGCAGCCCGCTCCAAGGCTTCAAGTCCTGAGGAGGGTTGGACACAGGGTCCGGCGCTCCCGCCTCTGCTCTGTCAGGTACCTGTGGGTCAGTCCCTCGGCCCTCTGAGGTCCCCACCGAGCTCAGCATCAGTGATGGCGCCCCTGGGCTCCAGGCAGCTCTGAGGGACTGAAAATCGAACTGAGGGTGCTGATCTACTTTTGGGAAGGGGTCCACCAAATTCTGATGCAAATACTTGTTCCCAGACGACTTCTGTATCAAATCCCCTTAGTTGGGACAGGCAGCTGGCCCGCCCTCTTCACTTGCTAAAGCCTTTTTGCCAGGCAGGATTCTCAGTGAGCGATTTTGAGAGTAAGTCTAGTAAGAAGGAGCGTTTGCCTCTGCCTTCCGAGCTGGCTGAGTGCCCTGGGCCTAGCCAGCGGTCTGCTCTGGTTCACACGGTCTTCCCACAGCGCAGAAATCCTCCGTCCCTTCCCTCGTCTCTCACGGTGTTCCCATGATGCAGCCAGTCAGCCTCTTCGTCATCTAGGGGGTGTTTTCTTCTTTCTTTGCTCTTTCCTGGCTCACGGGGCACACCCTGCTCAGTAGCTTCTTCACAACTCTGCCAACATTTCCCGGGTGCCTTTTGGGGTCATTTTTGCCAATCTGCTGGGTGAAAGGCGGAATCTCAGAAATGCTTTCGTTTGCATTGCTGTGATGAGCAACGCTTTGGAGCGTTATTCGTGTGATGATGGATCGCCTGGACTTCCTCTCTTAAGACCTGTCCATATCCTCAGACCGTTTTATCAATTGAGGAAGGGCTCTTTTTTTTTTTATAAATTTGTATTGGTTTCTTCTCTGTCTTGGAAGCAATGCCTTTTGCTCCCCTTACAATTTCCCTTTTCATCTTAGGTTTATTGCTGTGCTTGTGCAAAGCGTTTTCTAATTTTATGCACTTTGAGAGGAAGCCGCTGCATTTCTAGTTTTCCTTCCCTTTCTTACAAGAGAGCTCTCCCAGAGCGGGCCTGATCTGGAAACGTGTGCAGTGTAAAAACAGAGCACATCAGTCAGACTTATGAGCTCGTTTTACAGCGGCAAAGTGACTTGCCCAGGGTCACACAGTTAAGGTGTGTTGGTGATGGGATTTCAACCCCAGGCTCTCCTGACCCCAGGTCCAGCACTTTTCGCTCCACCAGGAGCCACTCAGAAGAAATCCAAGGTGAATGTTTCCCTTTTCGGTTACATGGCAGTTCTGTTAGTGTGGCCTTTTTTGTCTGACAGTGGCGATGCTTCTTAGACTCTTTAGGGTCAGAGCAATTACTTTTTATTTTGCTTTCTGCCTCTGTCTTTGGGAAGGAGAAAACACCCCGTTTTTGCACGCTGCAGTATGACGGCACATGGTGGTTCTCTTTTTCGTTTTCTAACCGCAGTGGATACTCAGATAAGTGTTAGCATAATTGAAGCCTTCGCTCACACTTATTTAGAATATTGCTTTATTTTTGTGGTAAGATTAAAGTGCACCTTTTTCTGAGTTCATCACAAAACTAAGAGGCATCATGGCCTAGCAAGCAGGTCAGGCATTGGTTTTGGGTTCAGATCCACCCTTGACCTTAGCTTGGTCCCCCAAGACACTCGGGGCTATTCCTGGTGAGCCATGGACTGTTCTCTGTCTCGGCATGGGCATCTCCTGGCTCCAGACTCACCGTGGGGCTGACGTCCCAGATCCTTCCCGTCTTGGCAGCTTCGGGGCTGGTCAGGATCCCTCTCCTTTGAGCGATTTATGCTTTGGTAGATTCTTGAATGCTTGGCCTCTCTTCAGTGAGTGAGCTTGTGTGTCTGTGGGATGCATGTGCTCGGTAGGGCCGGCTTCTTCTGGAACTTTCTTTTCTGGGAGCAGTTGCTCCCAGGGTCAGCATTTCTGTGTTTATTCTTGTGGTGTGTTGAAGGGCCAAGGTTTAATGAACTGTTCTTGGTTAAGGCTTTTTTTCCATTCCAATAATGGTGTGATCCTTAGTTAATGGAAAAAGAGACCTCGGGGAAGTAAAACAAGTGGGTCTTTGTTACGGGGTTTTAAAAAAAATAACACCCAGTGTACTTGATCTCTTTAAGGGAAACTTTAAAACCATTGTTCTTATCATGGGAGTATTAATTTTTTTTTTAAATTTCCTGTGATGGTCTATGAGGTTCATCTCTCAGAGTATCTAATGGCCTTTTATAAGTTCATATTTTCATCAAAAATATGACATGATATGTGTGTGACCCAGTGAAATACACATGTGTAGGAGTGATTCGCCAGGCACAGGCATCTAGGGAATCGCCCTCAGCTTGGCCCCTGCTTCAGACATCTACAGTAGCCCGATCCAACACCATT